TTCATTCATTTGCTAAGCAAATTATGAAGCGAAGGGATTGGTATGAAGCGGCCGTGATGCTGCATGCATACATGGGTACACATATGCAGCCGTATCTTCGGTAGCGGTGATTGGTAAGATGCTACGGGAAACTCGTCCGAAATCGATTTACAAGTCACTGAGAACGGAGGCTTTTTCTTCGCAGTTTTGACCGTTTCACTCCGTTCTTTCGCCATTTCCCCACTATACAGCGCCCTACTAGCATTTTAGGCTAAGTAGGAAACCATCGTGCCAACTGCCTTCAAGTAAGTATCCCCAGTAAGTCAGCTTTCATGGTACGGCGTTGAAATGACCCTGATCGCTTTCGCTTGAGTGACTGAGAAAAACTTCGTCCAGGGAGGCCACCTGCCTTGGATTTGGACCTACTGTGTTCCTTGATTAAAACCAATTCGTACAAATCAACTCGCTATCTAGTCCTTACACTTGACTGTTTTAAAAGCACAAATGACTCGCTCCCTCAAAAAGTATTGAAGTTTGGTCAAAATTTTTCCCATGAGTTGATCGATACTCAAGAGGAAGGGCATGTGGGCACTTGTCTACAACTTCTCTCCCGCTCCGCCACATGGACTGGCTGAACAACGATGTGACTGGATAAGGAGTAGGTGTCTCTGGGTGAACCACTCCGGAAGCGCCAATGGCTAGATCCTCCAGGAAGGGCAGAACCGGTCGTGCAATCCCATCAATACAGTAGGAAGGTGATACTGTGCGTGTGGTGAACCATTCATGGGGTTTACCGCAGGGAGTTTCTTCCTCTCAACGCTGTGGTAACCAGCGAGTCCTCCTGTAATCAAAGGGAGGATGAAAATCCCTACCATTTGGTCCCACAACCCAGCAATGTTTGCCTACTCCACCACAGCTCAGGGTCACACGTTTTGAAAATGACACTGCTCGAGAGATCCTGAAATTTAGCTGGGGAATTCCACCACAGTCTTCGTGTAGCCCTGACTTAGCTCTTTCCGATCGCCATCTAAACTAATCCCACAGCGGCCATCTTCTGGGTAAAAAAATACGATTTTTGAAAGTACCTCAAAAATGACCCAGCTGCCTTTCTCGGCACGGAACCAAAAAGCTTCTGGAAGCAAGGCAACCACTCTTTGCCTGGTGGTTGGCAACAAGTTGCCGATGAAGGTAATATATTGTTGATCAAAATTGCTTCTCACTGGAATAAACTTGACTCGAAAAAAAAAGTTCGAAATGGTCACGAACTTCTGAGACATCCTGATACTTTCAAATTTTCTGTGGCTTTGCTGAACTACATATGCGGGATATTTGTTTCCCCTTTTGAGCAGTTTTTCGGACTTTACAGTTGAATCAGAGCGAGGGGAAAATTTCAAAATTTGCAGTAATCTGGACTGTGTACAATGATTCCTGAATTGAACATCATAAATTAGCGTGATTGTCATTTCTGTTTGAGTGCCAAATTTCCCATTGACTGAATCTGATTGCAGCTACCAACTCACAACGGTCGCCATCAATCTCTCATTCCTACTGGTTCTAGTGCTTTTCATCGATTGGATTGTACGGTGATAACGTCGTTCATTAAATTCTTTGAAAATCGTAATGAAATCTGAAAAGGGTCAAACTCATGAGAAACGGAACCGTTGTCCTCTACGTCTCCTTCTTTGATATACCCTCTCTCCCCTAGAAACGGAATGTCCAAGAACAAGACTGAATAGAGGACTTGTTTTGTATCAACAAGCTGCAGCAGGTACATTCACAGTAGAACGGACAGGGCCGGGTAGTCCAGGTGATCAGGTGTCATGAGTGAGTTCAATTTCTTTAGTACAACATTCGGGTTTCAAGTCTTCACGACCTGGAGTGAGATGAGCCTCCTTATCCCTGAAAAGGAGTAGGCGTGGCATGTGAACATGGCATAAAATAGGCTTGTCGCGGGATATTGCAGTTTGAGACAACTGTCATCTTGTTCAGTGTTGGACAGAGACATCACCACAGTGGTGTCAAAATGAAAAAATCTCAACAAAAAATTATCTCAACCACCACGCCAGGCCACCACCAGGTTTAGTTGAAGTCATGGAGCCACGCCCTACTACATCTGAGGTGATTTCGAAGTATTGCCGCATCTCTTGCTCCTGTCCTCCGCCCCAGCCCCTCAATATTTCTCAATTTGTTTGCATTTATCAACTATAGTCATACACTTTCCTTTGATGATTTTTTTCCGCTGTTGAAGCCTATTAATCTCTGAGTTTAGACTTGACAGGCAGGCCAGTTTCATACGCCACCATTACCACAGAAAGCGAAAACGCTTGCAATTTGTTCAAGAACGAGGAACGTGATGTGAAACCATGCAGGATATCAATAAACTGCTCATCGAGAATATTCTACCAAGCAGTGTCGCGTGTAAATTCCTGGCGCCGGATAGACCAGTCAATGTGGGTCTACGCGTCCGGGGCACAAGCCTAGGATTGCACTTCAAGGCCGAACATACAGTGCTTTATCGGTCGTCAGGTGGAGGCTTCCACTGGTACGTTATGGGCGCGGGCGTCAGCCTATTTCCATCAATGGCTGCCCGTCCCCATTGCGGTCAGGAGTGGTGGAATCGAGCTGGGGCCACACCAAAACGTGTGCGAGCAGGGAAACCTCCATACGACGCACCGCTGGTTACTGTATCATCCCTACTTTTCAAGTAATTGCTTTCAGGAATTGTATGCACGTCAGCATGAGAACGTTTGTGTGATGTTCGCTTCCATACCAAATTTCAAAGATTTCTGGAGCCAGTGGGACACTAGTCGGAAGCTGGAATGCTTACGACTTCTAAACGAAATCGTGTGTGAATTCGATAAAGTGAGTTTAGAATAGCTTTTTTTTCTTGTGAATTGAGTGTGAACTGGCAAAAGAGCTTTGTTTAGAATCGCAAGACAATTCCGCTGCATGGGGTCCACTTTTATATGCCAAAGAAGGAGAGCACGATGCTTGCATTATTTGAACTCGAATATGGCGGCAGAGTAAGGTATTTCCACTTTCTGTCCGTAACTGGGGCAATGACAATGAACAACAACTTGCTTCAGAAACGCAAAAAATCGCAAGTCACAGAGAAGAAAGAACTTCCCCCGTCTGAGGGAAACCGCGCGAAAATTTTATAGCGACTGTAACAGGATTACATAAATTTTCTCTCAGATTTTTTGTAGTCAATTTTTGTGGTACTCTTCTTGTATTAGACTACCGAACAGCTACGCACTTCACAAATTCTTCTCTTGCTCTTCTTCACAAATTTTCAATTCCCGCTTCTAAGTTTCTAGAATGCTCCTTTCAGCTCCTCTCAAGCCGAAGCTTCTCTTCCCATAGAGAAATTGCAAGAACCGTTCCAGCTACGTTACATGGCATGCCGCTGTCTAAACGAAATGGAAGCCAGACCTTGACTGACTGTTGTGAAGTAATAGTTCTGAGGAGCTTAAACGACAGAAAGGTGTATTGACCGGTTAAGACTAATTGAAAGGCATGTTCGTTTTGAACAAAAGTCCTTCCTGCACTATCATTTTTTATTCGCTATGATTGCTTTTAGTGGGCGGTAAGCCAAGCCTTTTATAGTCGCAGGGCGTCAGCGAGATGCGGATACGATCCAACTTATGGTTAGATATAAAGCGATTACAGATGATTTGCAGATTTTTTTCCTTCTTTATCTTTCTCTCCAATCTTTTTCCCATTCTTTCTTTGCTCATAGTTTTTCGGAAACAGTGCCTACCACAGGAACGATAGCTTCCGCCTCACACTGGATCATGCCTTAAAGGAGCGGTCCGCGATGACCTATGAAAATGCAAGAGGTTATGTGGGAAGGTAGTGCGGTCCGGAGTGGACAACCCTGTGCCAGTTTCGCGGCGGAAAGTTGTACGGTAAAGGAATTGAGGCGCAAAGTTGCTTCAGTGGTACATCCCTTTTTCCAGTGACTCCGCCTCCAGACTCCGCCTCCAAAGTCGGCCTTCCAGCCAAAAGTAATGCTCCCGGGCAAGTATCATGGAGTGGATGCATTCAATGTCTCTTGTAGAGTCATAGGGTTCATTACTGGGAATCAGCCGACGGGAATTGTCCCAGCGCGCGGTCTTTTCGGTCTTTTACCTCTACAGTTGTTTGAGGCTAGAGGAGGCCTGACGAATGCGTTTCCAACGTTCCCTTTTGGCATTTTCTCTTCATAGATGGTTCACTTGGCAAATTTCTTCCACATTTCTGCAAAATCACCTAGGTTTTTCATCGCGGTCCGTGCCATCAGTAATGTCATCGCGGGGAAGCTACACCAGAACCTACTTTCATCTTGTGGAGAATCTTGTCAGTTTGACCTCTTGCGTATTCACGAGACATGCTTATGTGTTCCTAGTCCTTCGGGTGACTCCTCTATAGGCTTAGGTTAGTATAGACCTAGGGCACCGTATTGGTAGGGAAGCAACCCTTGTTATAGGGAAGGGGAAGGTAAACCTTTTACTGTCAAAATCTCGCTGCTCGCTATTGGTGCTTGATTTATCATCCAAGCCGTGACGTTGCTTTCGTTGGGGGATTATCTGAATGGTGATCCTAGTCAGACTTGTAGAAATTAGCATACAATTGCAGTCATAATTCATGCAAACGATAGGGTGTGTGACGTGGCGCGGAAGTCAGGGTACAGCATCGTTGTGTGAAACACATGGGGGGGTCGTATTTGGTCGTTGTTGGGAGAGGGGGGTTGTATGTGCCTTTGAGAGAAATTAGCCAGCGGTAGGTAGGTGCTAAGGAAGAGAGAGGGTCGTAGAGGGGGTCGATAAAGAGGGTCCGCGTAGGGTGCAGCATCGTGATGGTGTGAAGACGACCCTCTCCCCGAGAGGGGGGGGGGAGGGTCGTGCTGACACGGAGTCCACTGCGCCAGGGCGACACTTTCCCAATGGTGCTATCCTGTGCTCACTTCAATTGGTGAGAAAGGCCACTCTGGCTTCGCTCCAACCTCTCCCCCCCCCTCCCCCTCCCCCGTCAGACACCTTATCTTTTACAGGGACTATGACGAGTTTATTATAGCTAACATAATTACATTACAACATTATATTTTTTGATTCTTTTCTCATTATGCTCGCTCGGAATTAAACATCCAAACAGCTGAACCAGCTCATGGTAGGATTCGCTGAAGAATTCCTGGATGTGATCCATCAACGAATAAGTATAAGACGATTTCAGGAGTTCACCGAGGACAATCGCAGTGCTAATCATGTCCTTGTAACCAACAACAATATCATCAACATCAACAGAAATGGCGACGCACGAAATCTTGTGAGTTTGTACACTTTCTATATCTAATTGCAAGAGGTTTAGGCGTGGCATCGACAATGGCATGGGATGGGTCACCTCGTGGGATATTTCAGTTTGGCTACAATTGCCATCTTGTTCCATGTTGGACAAAGGCGTGATTACACTGTCCCAAAATGAAAACATCTGAGGAAAGCTTAGGCTGCGGCCACGCTCACTTCGAGTACGCAGCCACGCCTACCGCATCTCAGGGATTTGGAGTGAGTCTGGAACGCAGCACAATCATGTGAACAATGGAAACAGTCGCTTTTGCTGATGGGGCGTGTCAGTTCGGATGGGTTTAGGGAACCGCCAGCCGTTTCCTTTTCGTTTTTTTTCCTTCGGCAAGCGACAAGAGTATATCGTACCGTTCGTAGTAGGCGGTTTCTACCATCCATTTGCTGTCATTGGTCATCAACTGGTTAACAACTAGCGGCAAACCCGACATCACTGACACGCCCCATCCGGAGCGATCAAGACTTTCGTTTGCTACTGTCGTTCTCTGAATCTTGGACAGCATCAAGCGCTGAGAGGTCCGTAGACACAACTGGGAGCTAACGCATGAGGAATTTTGCTTGAGCTCGGAGGTGAGAAAGTTTGTAGGGTGCAACAGTTTTGAGTCAAAAAGTGGTTCTCTCATTCTGAGTAGTTGCTCACCTCTCTCAGATTCTTCAGTGGTTTTGACAGGTTTACAGAGAACGACCCATGATATTCAGCTCGCCTAACTAGGTCATTAGTGAACTAATGAGGCGCTGCAAATGGATAACTCTATGCCCATGAGTTTATATAATTACAGAACCTGAAAATGTACCGTAATGCGACAATGATGATCGAATTCGCATTGGCCATGTCTCAGATACTCGACCAATTAATCGCGATTCATTTCAAAACTCGAATTACGAATAGGTAGGTGATAATCATTGATTTTTTTTCAAACCTGTAATGATTACGTGCAGGCCAAATAGCGTTCAAAAGGGCCCCTACAACCATAAATTGAAATGTGCGTGCACTGCAAAGAGGAGCTAGTCAACTGCTACTATTCACAGTTGGGAGAGCTGTATGGCGTGCACTGGTTTGCACAGATCCCATGAACCACTCGGAGCTTTCCTCTTTTTGACCCGAAAACACAATCATCTAATTATGCAGGTTCAACTCATTTTGGTTTCATTCTGTGCCACATTTTCAGGTATGAGTGTTGGCCCACTTGTGGCTGGCGTTATTGGAGCTCAAAAACCACAGTACGATATCTGGGGGAATACGGTAAATCTCGCCAGTCGAATGGATACCCATGGCGAGCCGAGGAAAATACATGTATGATCTTTTGCTTATTTATCTTCCCAACAAAGCTCGCAACTTGATATCCTCTTTCGCCTTGGAAAATGGGGTGGGGGGGGGGGAAATGGTTGCCACGTAGTGGATATGGTTCAGGGAAGCAGATCAGAATTCAATCGTCATCAGCTATAGTATACGGTGACATCTTAATGTAGCTTGAGAAGGTTACATGTTTCTTGAATGGGCACTGGGTTCACTGGTGAGCTTGTGGAGGCCGCTGTTTGGGTCGCCCAAACGGAAGGCGAAGCAGCGACGGTTGGCTGCATCGCCTTCCGCGGCGGTCAGGCGGGTCAGACGTACTGATGAGATTGAGTGACTGGTCAGATTTTGGCTTTGATCTTCACTATTGCGCCAGGCCGACATGGTGTAGTGGCATGTGGTATGCGAGATGAGCGCCGTCTTGGACCCAGATCGGCTCCTGCTTAGGCCAGCCAGCCTACCTTCCCCCGGGAACCGCGAATCGGTGCCAGATTCGACAGGGAGGATAATAATACTGATTTTTTAACTTTCACACGGTTCTGGATGGAAGCAGAATCCATGCCGCATCTTATAAAGGGATCGAAGACCATCTTTTTACTGTGTCGATAGTGTCAAACAACATTAGTAAGGAAATAGTTCTGGAAGCGTGACGTCGGCATATAGAAAGACCTCATTCTTCCGGAACTTTATGGTAGCCGGTTTACCCCCCCCCCCCCACCCACCTCGACAGTTTGGTGGAGACCACACTGTGACCACATCGGTGTCCCATTCCTCGACACAATCATTTTATTTATTCCTAAGTATGTTGTATTTTTTGACATGATCCATTGATAAAGTGTTTTCCAGGTGACCACAGAAATGGGTGAACTTTTGAGGCGTGGTGGCTATCGTGTGAAAAGCCGTGGAAAGATCAAAGTGAAGGGTGTGAAGGTGAGATCAACAATTTTACTTAATTCTAAAGAGTCTAAGCTATATAGCTCCAAGGCGAGCCGAACTCATGTTCATGCCAGAAAGAACTCCAAAACATTGCAAGGACTGAAATTATTAATTTCAGGAACCGATGGAAACATTCCTGATAGAAATCGACTCGAAAAGGAATTCATCTGTTTCGAACATCTCAAACCATCCGAGTTCTTCCTGAACGCCCGCCGGCTTCAAATGATCTGTTTGTGACCGTTTGATTGATCTTATTTATAGTGTCACTTTATTGATACATACTGGTACAATAGTCGTTTTGTTAAGATTTTGATCAGTCTAATAAATTCTGCTTTTTCTGAGGGAATATTCGTTTCAAGTTCATTGAAAATATTAAACCTGGTCTGAAACTGGATATGCCTTGACGTCGAGTTAGGCAGAAAGTCCTGCATCATGAGCAGTACATTTTTGTTCTGTTTTCTTCTTCGTTTTATCTAAGTAAAACCATCCACGTTTTGATTGGGATAACCTAAGAAGAATGGAGTTTGACGCATTCAGTCCAGTGAAGTTTTCCATCATTGTGAACCGCGCACATTATCCCTAGCTCTAGCCCCAGAGTTTTTTTTTTCATATTTTTGAGTCTCGTTAAAACACTAAAATAAAGAAATGAAGAGCGCTGTTCCCAGGTCTGTGGTAATGCCAAAAAGGTGTCAGCATCTGACTGCTGCAAAATTTAGTTGCGAGGTCCCGCCCCTCTAAAGCAAAACGAAGCTTTATCCATTGTTTCTCCTCTTCTCGCGATACTAGGGGGGGGGGCAAAAAAAGTCATTCCGGCCGAGTCACATATGAGCGAAGTTTTCGCAGCCCAGACAGAGGAAGTGGATATGAGTAC